AGCATTAGGGACTTCGGAAGCGGGGTAGACCCAAACAAACCTGGCTTTCCGAATTTTTTCGCATGGCTCTGGATATGTGCGGCGATCGGCTTAGTTTAGAGACCTTCTGGAACCAGCTCCAACAGTCTGGCAGGACAAAGTGCTCACATACAATTTCACACCATTGCCACATCAGCGAAACGGTTGAGTGGCCTGCCCATGTGTCTCAACCCGAGGCTTTTGACCTGACCTGACCTGACCTGACCTGGGTTTGGGGTCGCGGCTTCGTCTTCGTATTTTCTGTTGAAGCATCGGCTTGGGATTGGGTTTTGGCGCTTGGCTTCGGGCTTACACTTGCAGGTTTCGGGGATGTGTCCTGCTGTTTCGATTTGGATTTGGTGTTGTTTGCCTGCCGCCGAGTTGACTGGATCGGATTACACTGCGGACAACGCACCTTAATTCTTGTGTTTGAGACTGCTTCACTGATGATTTTGCACGGGTTTCGAATTTCGTACAGAGATGAAGAGTTGCAGGGGCTTGCGTCGGAAGATTTCCCTGGGTTTTGCATGTTGCCGGACCGGATTGTCACACCCCTTCGACATTAGCAGTCATGAGCATTAGCATCAGCATGGGTTTTGGGACAGACTACAGAGCACCATTCTAAATTCAGAATTTATAGAAGTGCTTTCAAAATGGGCTTCTTGAAAGGCTGACCATCATCGCCTTTTCGAGCCATTTCCTGAAGAATTGAATCCATGACATCCCCGGGAACAGAGTGGGCCAAGACCTTCAAAACGCTGTCCTTGCGCGCACCTTGCGCCGATTTACGCATGCATTGGAATGTGAACTTACCATGCAAGCATTGATGTTTGACAGTCTTGTCTACATGTACACGTGACAGTGTGTTGACATCTCTAGCACCGCATACTTTGCACAAGAACCTTTGCAAACTGGCTCCAGCGAAAGCTAGAACTTAAGAATGTGCATTCGAGCAGCTTCAAAAAGAAAAACTCATGTGCAGTCAGTTGGGCCAGAACCGGCAAAGCCGCAGCATAAAATGGTCCAGAGAATACTTGTTGACTTGAAGCACATCAGCGCTTTCGGCCTAAAGTGTCGAGATATTGATCAAACCAGGAAATATACATATATATATAAATAACACTCTACACATACATATACACACACATATGTATATATATATATACGCAGACATACATACATACATACATACATACATACATATCAGGCACATACATACATCTCAGGCATATACATACATACATACATACATACATACATACATACATACAACATACGGACATACATACATACATACATACATACATACATACATACATACATATATATATATGGTAACCCCCCCCCCCCACCGCGGTACCTAGGTTGTGTCCTGTTCAAGTTAGCCGCCTTGTCCCTAATATGTGCTCTGTCCCTTGGTTGTTGCATCTCTGGGAAAGTCATCGAAGGTGTTGGTTTTACCAACATTTCCAACAACTTCTTTCCATGATTGCCGAAACTATGGCTCCGGCTCCCGAGTTTTCTCCAAATTCATGGAAATTGTTGGAATTGTTGGTATGTCATGATTTTTTTGAGGTTTCTACAAAGTCATGGAATTTGTTGGCAATGCTGGGAAAACCAACATTTTTCATGATTCCATCACGGAAAATGCTGGTTTAACCAGCATTCCCAACCATTTCCATGGTTGCCGGAACTATGGCTCCGGCTCCTGAGGTTTCTCCGAAATTCAAAGCAGTTGTTGGAGATGCTGGTAAAACCAACATTTTCCGTGATTTGTTTGTGGTGAATCATGGAAAATGTTGGCTCTACCAACATGTCCAACAATTTCCATGATTGCCGAAACTATGGCTCCGGCTCCCGAGGTTTGGAAATGTTGGTAGAAGCAACATTTTCCATGCTTTGTCTGTGGGGGATATGTTGGTTTTACCAACATTTCCAACAATTTCCATGATCGAAACTAGGGCTCCGGCTCCCGAGTTTTCTCCAAATTCAAAGTTGGAAATGTTGGTACAACCAACACTTTCCATGATTTGTTTGTAGGGAGTCATGGAAAATATTGATTTTATCAACATTTCCAACAATTTCCATGATTGCCGAAACTATGGCTCCGGCTCCCGAGCTTTCTCCAAACTGGAAATGCTTGAAAATGTCGGAATCGCCAACATTGTCCACAGGTAAGTATTTCAAAACGGTGTTACCGAAACTTGCGATTGAGCACATCTTATGTAGTCATGCGGTGTGTTTTTGCAACATGGGCCGGTAAGATATTCGCATCTTTGCTTACACTCAGTAGTTTGTCCATCCAACACGAAACTAGGTAATAGTCTCTGCTTTGAAGACGCTACTGTGCGAACGCCAGTCCATTGGGCTGTTCTGCTTGTCACGTACAGAGCAAAACTTCATGTCTACGGTTCAAGGTTTTACCAAAAGACAATTAATGCTGTACGGACACGCTTTTGCTGGTTCAATGAGACACTTCCTAAGACAAATGTAAAGGTATTTACTTATGTCATATGTTGCTTGTTGTTTACATGGGCGGCTATAATCGTTGCGTTTGTGCAGCTTTTGGTGCGGCTTTCCGCGCTTGCGGTAAAAAGCCCGTAATCAAATCACTATCATTTGCACCAGATTTCTGACGTGCATCATTGTCAACGGGTCATCATTTGGTAAGTGCAAAATTTAGAAAATGATTTTGAACAGAGCACAAAATCCGAGTCCGACCAATAAAATGGACAGGACGTGAATTATGTAATTTATGCACACACTGAAGATTCTTAAGATGAAACTCAGACTAAACATGCTGAATTTAACTGGACCTGAAAAAAGGGAAACTAGCAAAATCGGCTAGTAAACAACGGAAGATAGAACCTACAGTGTAGGGTAATAATGCGCAGCCACGGCATGGCTTGGAACACTAACAGTTCACTCTCAACAAGTTAGAAACAAACAAATGTGTTACTTGATTAACCATCATCCTACCAAGAGGTCTTCTAAGCACTGGTGTGAATATCCAACAGGTACTGAATGGCAGGTTTATACTTATCAAAATGTATAAACACAAGACTCAACAAGTAGCACATGTACTTTTTATATAATGCTTGGTTGTTGTTAAGCAAGGTTTCCGAACAATATACGAAGCACTAAGACTAAATAACCACAAGGGTAATTGACCCAGCGAATCTTGATTCAGAAATGATAGGAAACCGGGATGTGCATAGCGTTAATTCGGTTAGTCTTGATGAAGTACAATAAACTACAGTAACAGGAACCATAGTAAGATAACAACATTGCTAGATGTAATCTGCCTAATTTAGAATGATTTCGTTCCCCAATTTAGGGTCAGGTCGGGTCGCGTCGGGTGGCTAATTTCGCTACATTCACGGGTCGGGTCGGGTCGTTTATTTCTGTTAAATCCCGCTCACATTATCTGGCTCTGTGAAGGCAGCCAGAGCAGGCGGCAGGCACAGTGCACCAGAACACCAGGGCGCGGAGGGTTTAGGGTTTAGGGTGTGGCGTTTAGAGGCAGGGCAGGGCAGGGGCAGGGCGACGACGATGATGATGCTCCGGCGCACCTCCCGCGGACAAGTGGAACGGACTGAAACAGCCCTATTTCATTGAAATAAGCTGGTTTTTAGCTTGTTTTGGCAGCTACTGAGAACAGAAGCTAAACAAGGATCGCAGGAAACACAGTGCTGCTACTTCTGGCGTTCTCCCCCAGGTTGTGACCCTAGCCCAATAAACCCCATGTAGTTTTATACCAATTATACCGGCTATACCCCATTTTTGTTCACCCGTGCCCACGGCTGGTCTCACCATGCACCCTCCCTGTTGAGGGCAAGAGCGAACAAAATCAAAATCAACCAGCTTAGTAAGGATTAGGGCGCAATGAAGATAGTTAACGACAAAAAGAAAAGGGACTGCATTGCGCTTGGGCTCTTTGTTTCTGCTTTCAGGTTTCGGGCATCGTCTCCAGGGTTGGGCTGAGGGCTTCGGTTCATCGTCGAGAGTGTTCATCTAGATCTCTTTCAGAAACTTTTACCCTAAACCCTAGGCCCTAAACCCTAAACCCTTACTTGCAGGTCGCTTTAGTAAATAAGGCCTGCTGTTTTGGGTCTATTATCCGGGTCTGGCTGATCAGTACGCCTATGTGGGGCAAAACCGAGATGTCAACAGCACCCGTCGCCGACAATCATCATGATCTGTTTAGGGTTTAGAGTTTAGGGTTTGGTTTGGAAGGTCGTGATCTACATTTTCCACCAGGTTGGGCCCTTATAAAGCCTAATAAAACCCATGTAACATGTAGTACTACACCGGCTATACCCCATTTTTGTTCACCCGTGCCCACGGCTGGTCTCACCATCCACCCCCCCTGTTGAGGACAAGAGCGAACAACATCAACCAGCTTAGCAAGGATTTAAGCTCAAAGCCCCCAAAAAGGACCTATTTCAATGAATTAGGCTTGTTTTAGAGGTTCTCCTCATTCCATGTAGGGGGGCTCGAGGCAGCGGCGCATCATTTCTGGCAAAAGGTCGTGATCTACATTTTCCACCAGGTTGGGCCCTTATAAAGCCTAATAAAACCCATGTAACATGTAGTACTACACCGGCTATACCCCATTTTTGTTCACCCGTGCCCACGGCTGGTCTCACAATCCAACCTCCCTGTTGAGGACAAGAGCGAACAAAATCAACCAGCTTAGAAAGGATTTAAGCTCAAAGCCCCCAAAAAGGACCTGTTTCAATGAATTAGGCTTGTTTTAGAGGTTCTCCTCATTCCATGTAGGGGGGCTCGAGGCAGCGGCGCACCATTTCTGGCAATTCCTCGGGAAGCGTCCCTGGGCGTCAAGCTAACCACAAAAAGAAAGTAGACTGTCGCGAGGGTCGTTATCTACTTGTGTGACCGTTGCATGTGCCTTCTTACTTGCACTTCCACTTGCCTTTTGCAGTAGCAGCTGCTGCGACAGAAGAGACACGACTGCTGGCTTACTCGGTAGTAGCTGCCGCCCGTTTCTTGGGCGGGCTATGTTCCTGCATGATGTCTGGGATCGGTGCCTCACTGGACGGAGCAAGGACGTGCGATGAACCCTCCACACGGAGCCCTCTGAGCACAGGCTGGCTCGCAAGCCTCTTTGTGCGCTTCTTGGATTGGTACTTCGTCCTCTTGCTGCCGAAATCACTTCGCTGCGCTCGCTTGCGCTGAATCAGCCGGCCGTTCTTTTTGTACCAGCCACTGCCAGCCACTGCAAAGCGCAAGTCAGTATCCGCGAGCACCTTCGTGGCAAGCTCTTCGACTACCTCATCTGCACGGTCTGGTTGCGAGCCATTCACACGAACCATCAGGTATGGCTCGTACATCAAGCTAGAATGCCCACTGCCAATTTTGTCCCTCAGTGTCTGTGCCAAAGCGAAAAGTCTCTCAGCGGACTCGCTTTGGAACAGCAGCCAGGCAAGCACTGGTCGCCGACTGTCCCCCAGATCTTCATCTGCTGTCTGCTTGAGAACGGCCTGCCACAGAGCCGTTGGATCGGAAACTTGACCCTTGGCGACCTCAGCGCTTCGTTCAGCCCAAAGCTTTCGCAAGCCAGAGTAGTGGCGAAGTCGGACAGCCGTTGGAAAATGGCCTTGATGGCAGCTCTCTTCTCTGCAGCGCTCTGGCTATCATCGACCAGAGGCTTCAGCTTGATTTGATACTCCTGTCGGCCCTTCTGCTCACTGACATACTGCAGCACATAGGTTTCCTTCCAAGCACGGGTGTATGTATGCAAAAGCTTCTCCAGACGTGACGGTAAAACGGCACTTGGAGCAGCTGCAGCAGCTGGCTGGCCACACCTCACAAAAGCATCCGCTGCTGCACTGTTTTTGCGGCAAAAGCCGTCCAACTCTGCACAAAGCCTGTCTCGCGCCTGAAGTGTCTCCTGCATCCTCAACGGTTCTTGCACGAAAAGCAGATCGGCAAAATATCTGCCACCCCCGCCAGAGTGACCCTGAACTGCCATGTCGCCATAAACTGAAAAATCTCAGCAAGAGACTTACGCTTCTCCCGGCCTTTCTCCTCTGTGTGCGCAAAATGCAGGTGGCACAAGATGGTGTGATAAGACTTCTCAATCTGGGCTAAGGGTTGAAGCAACGATAACCAGCGAGCTTTCGCTGTGCCCAAGTGGCTGAGAAAGTCCTCGTCTTCCACCAGTGACGCCCAAAACACCAAGTCCACGTGGCTGTGAGGGTGGTTTCGCAAGAATCTGAAGAGCTTGTGGCAAATCTTTTCCAGCGAAACAAGGTAAAAACCTGTGCGCACAGCAATGTGTCGTCAACAGACGGCTGGCACACGCTTCCTACAGCAGCTTGGCCACATTGGACCCTGGGAGACCGAACGCCCGCCGCGACCCCATGACGGATGCTCCGTCTGAGGTAAAGCCAGGGCATTTGCGCAGCAGATCCGTTGGGGTTCGGTCTCCCAGGGTCGCATCGCAGGGGTCCTCAATGTCAAGCTCCGTCAACATCTGTTGAAGACATCCAAAAATCTCTGGCGCAGTGAATCCACTGAGTTCTCTGTACGACAGAAGCCGCGTAATGACATCCCACTCCTCTGTAATGATTTTGACTGCCACCACCAGGAAGATGTCTTTCTCATCCATGCAAAGAGAGAACGCCCGACATGAACGGAGTTCCTTGCCGAGGCGACGCTTCATGTCAGCGAAGGCTCCATCCCGCATCCTACAGAATGTCGTCTCACTGTCATGGCTCTCCAGCAACACGCCCCCCACTTGCCGTGCCATGTGAACGGCCACCTGCCAAGTGGACATGCTCCAAAAATGCCACAAAGCTGTGTACACTGTCAAAGCCTGATTCAGCAAGTAGGCCTTCCGAGATTGAGGCTGCGGAGACCCTTGCTTGCTGCTGCTGCTTGGGGTAATAGGAGTGCTGCCAAGGCTGCTCCCAGACCTTCGTACTGCTCTATCAGGTGTACTGACCATTGCATCCTTGCCAACAGTCGTGGTCTCTGTCGGCTGGCTGTTCTTGGCCTTCTGATGCGCTGCGCAGTTTTCATGGTTTTGAAGCGTTCGGCGGTAAAAGTACTTGCCCAAAACATAAGTGCCATGTATGAACTTGTCCTTGGCAGATCTGGCCGGCGTCAAAGACATGCAGAGTCGACAGCCCAAAGCATGCCTGCCCTCATGCTCAATCAACTTTAACCACGGGAACTCTGAGTGATACTTCCTGAAAACATCCTTCTCTGCATCTTGCTCTTCCACTCGCGCTTCAGAAGCCATTGGCTTTGCAGGAGGCAAGGAAAAGCCTACAAAACCAGCCTACTTCAATGAAATAGGTTCGTTCTGTGATTTGCAAGATGCAAGACACCCAAACAGTGCTACTTCATTTGTGCAAAGATAGCTGGTTATTGCATGATCTGCCCTGGCCTGACCCTTGGCAAAGCTTCACGGTGTCAGCATTTGGCGTTCTTGCATTTCCACCCCTTATCCCACACCCTGAGACGCCTCCGAACTGAGACAATTCTAACCCTGCAACCCCACCGCAACCCCTTAACCCTTCAACCCCAACACCCCATCAAACTTTCAATCCCACAGCACTCATCTGTGGCCCCCCAAACCCTAAACCCAGAGGCCCTAAGGCTGTTGAGTCCACTGAGTGGGCGCACCGGTGCTGCCAACTCGTCCGCGCGGCAACGTTCGCGGTGGTCTTATTCCATGCCTCATGGACAAGCTCAAAACCCCCCAAAACGGACCTATTTCAATGAATTAGCCTTGTTTTAGGTCACACGTACTTATTTAACCGCGGTGTTTCGCTCACTTTTCAGCAAATCTTCCCCAACTCCGTCTTGAAGTCGATACCCACCGGCAGGTGGTATCGGCAGTGGTATCGCCAAACCCAGGCATGTGCATATGTCTTGAGCCTGTCATTGACAGGTCCACCCTTGCCTTTCTTATTATGAATTTGTGGTGGTATGAAAGCATCCATAGCCTGCCACCAACGGTCGATTACTTGAGTACCAGCTAGCACTACCGATGCTGGCTTCTTCATGCCAGTCAATCTCTTTACAAACTCGAACTTGTTATGTTTCACTTGAAAATTCTTGATGCCTTTAACATCGCACAGAGATGGCCATGCCGGAGCTCCGTCTGAGTACAAACGAACACGGGTATCAGTTGCTTTCACTATCTGATCCAAGACCTTGCTATCCTGGATTTCCTTCTTGCTTTCGACAGGAGGAGAAGCTGCTGGAGGAACAAGCTTGAAAGGCAAGACTTGGAAAACATCCTTTCCGGACCTGTAGCCTGCTTTGGCCATCCGCTTCTTGACTCCCACGACACGTAGGTGAGCTTGCCAATAAGATGGCAACTTCTTGCCTGGATTTGCTTTGCGATATCGTGTGATCGCGTCCTCAATCTCTGCACTGAAGTGTTGGTTGTGAGGGGAGACATAAAGCTTTCGAAGACCATGTCCATCAGCCTCAAGTTCTCCACTCAAACGATGCTTGACTTTGTTGTGGCGTTCTCCAGCTTTGGCCTCCTCAGCCAGCAAGGCATTAAAGGCATGCTCCACAGGCTTGCGAGATATTTTCAACTGTGCTTGTGCATCGGACACCAGAGGGGCTTTCAGAACATTGCAGCGAGAATAGAAAGTGATGACCCTGCACAGAGCCACCAACGAAAGTCTGATTCCGCTGAAGACCGAAAAGTCAGTGACGTTGAACCTCTTTCCACACTGGTAGGACCGACAGCGAAAGTACAACTTACCTGGGCAAGACTTGAAAGGCACTGGTCCACTCACCGGATGCTTGCAATCAGGGCAAACATCGGGGACATGAATAAAGCCGAAATCCACCAGCTCCTTGTATGCCTTACCACTATCAGTATCCAAGATGTCGACGACAGAGTCTGACATATGCTTGTGGGCAAACTCGCGGGTGCCGACTGTCTGGTTCTTGTACGTCCCATACTCCTTGGATGCCTGATGCTTGCCTTTTCCGGACTTGTTGTTCACAACTTTGACAGGCACTCGATTCTTGAATCTCTTCATAGGCTGCTGCTTCATAAGACTCTGCATGGATGCACGAAGATGGAGGAGTTCCTGAGCTCCAGGAGCCTTGCATTGCCGGATATTATGACCGACCTTTCCACAGCATGAGCATTTGTGAGGCGGCTGCGATCGAAGCCTCACGACTCCCTTTCCCATGCTGGCATGTGTATGTGTTAATACATATTTGTATATATATATATAAAGTAAACACACACATATATATATATATAAAGTAAACACACACATATATATGTGTATATATATATAAAGTAAACACATATATATATATATATGTGTGTGTATCTATATATGTATACACAGAGAAGCTTGTTGGTCGGTCTGAGCCATGTGCAGGGATCAGGTCATGAATGTAAGGAAAGACCGTGGTTAAATAAGGACGTGTCTCCTTGTTTTAGAGGTTCTCCTCATTCCATGCCCTCTCGACATTACCAACCCTAAACCCCACAAGTGTACAACCCTACAATCCGGAATGATTAAAAACACGATCCCTTCAGGAATCCTGGTTATAGTTATGGTATAAGAAAATACAGCAAAGCCACCCCCAAAACCCGTATTCCAGTTAATTATTGAGCTCCATATAGGACGTTGAAGGCCGGAGATGTCGAGATGAGGATTCGCTAAATGCAGGTTTTCGGGTTCAGAGAGGCCGCTGGTAAGGGTTCAGGCGTCAGGTTTAGGATTTAGGGGTTTACGGTTTAGGGTTTAGGTTGAAGTTGGGCACTCCCCCCCTTCTGCACCCGTCGGATAATATGCATATAATGTTAATAATATGTCTTTATAGAGCCCTTGATATGACCCATAGTCTGACTGTTGCAGGGTGGGTTTCAGTACCCAGAGTTTGGAGTTGAAGGTTGAGGATTGCAGCGGTTGAAGCCTTCCGAAGTTTGGGGTTTAGGGTTGAAGGTTCAGGGTTCAGGGTTTTACTGCAGATTGCTCGAACCTATAAGACCTAAACCTCAAAACCCTAAACCTCCTAAAGGCCCCAAACCCTAGGGTTTGGGGTTTCGGGTTTAAGGGTTTCGGGGGTTAGTGTCTCGGAAGCGATAATGACGAGACACCCAGGAACTCGCAAACAACCTCAACCCTTGAAGCCGTGAAGCTCTGGGTTCACCGAAGCTGCATCCCTTAAGCCATGAAAGGCAGCCCGAAAGGCCCAAGACGTTTTTTTTGCCTCCGCCCAAGACGTTTAGGGTTCAGGGTTTAGGGTTTAGGGGTTTAGGGGTTTAGGGGTTTAGGCTTTAGGGGTTTAAGGGTGGCGTTGGAGACTTCGTTTGGTTCCAGGTTCTGGTGCGAGGCACTGACACCGAAACTCACCACTTCGACCCTGCAACACAAACCCCCGAACTCGAGAAATCCGCAGAAAAACAAAGAAACACACTTCCTCAATCGCATTTTCATGTGCGGCTCAGCGCTGCGAGCTAGTGAAGTGGGACTGCACCCAGCGTAGCATGGCACAATCACGCTCGTCAGGAGTGATCCTCTTTGCATGTATGGCCAGCTTGCCCCACGCAACCAACGTCTCAGTCGCGTGCGTCTCGGCCGCAAACTGCAGTAGGCGCAAGGCTTCGGAGCTTATGCGTTTTCCTGGCCACCTTCCTTGTCCATCGCATCTCGGACGATGCGTGTGAAGGCAACTCTTGAAGTTAACGTCTCCGGTCCATCACAAGCTTGCAAGGGTCTCACTTCAGCTTCTGCGCGCTGCAGCCGCGGTCCATCCACATGCCTTCCACGCGCATTTCGAGCAGCAGGACGGCGAAAGATCTGCTCAGCGGGGGCAGCGGGGGTTTCGGCCACAGGTTGCAAGCGCCTGCGCTTGTTTGCTGCTTGCAAGTACTCTTGTCCCAATTCAGCCGGCGCCCTTGTCGATCGACCGGTTCGCCCAGCGCTTCTGGCCGCAGCGCCATCTGCTGCAGCCACTTCTTCATCCACTGCTTCTGCCTCGCCTCTGAGACAAGGTGGAAGGAGACCGTCAATTGTCATGTCGTCTTCATCGATGCGACGAGCAACTTGGACGCCACTCAATGCACAAGCCCGCACGAAAAATTCGTCGTCTTCTTCCCGTCCGAAAACGAGAGGGCTGCTGATCATGAAGCGCTCAGCCGAAATCCATCCTGTATGTTCACCATAAAGTACACGGCGTCTGAGGCCACAGTCCAAAACCGCGTGTCCCGACACACCTCAGCACGGTGCCGCGTGGCACGGTCCCATAGCCCAGCTGCTTGTGGGAAGGCTGGTGTCGCAAGCCTGCTCTCCAACTACTGTACGTTTGTGGGTTTGAAACATGTGCGTTTATTTCAAATTTCTACATGACACCACTAAAACAAAAAACTAAGCAAACCTGACACTTTCACGCCTGCAAAAGCCGGTCTTGTCCAAGCACTCTCCTTCAGCAGCTTTCCAAAAGACCTCCTCTGCTGGCTGCAGGTACAACCGGCGTACGAGCTCACCAGAGGGGAAACGGCAGTCAAATGAATGACCCCGCGGAAAATCTCCGGCAGATCGGCGATGGGAGTGCTGGCGCTGACACGCTCGCCATCACAGTAGTAAACCAGAGCTTCTGCATCGCTTCCAGCAACCGAAGCCACGAGCTTTGCCAAGTCTCCGCATACCCCTGCAAGACACCCTGAAGCGTCTCATCCTCTCTGACTCGACAGCTCCACGGAGTGCAATGCCGGTTGCTAACCAAACAAGTTTTCATGAGAGCAGCTGGCAGCAGAAATCATCTACATGGCATGGCGACATGGTCCTCTAAACAACACCCCTAGCCCTCTCGCTCTTGGTTAACAGTGGCGGCTTCCTGTTGTTTGTGCTACCGTCACACAAAGACTCGTCAAACACCGGAAACCCAGCCCCGCCTGATTCCAAGAGATGCTGATGTCGCAAAGCGCTCCTGCCAGAGCTATGTTGACAAAAGAGCCTACTTTGAAGCAGGCTTGTTTTCGCGGTTCTTCATTAGAGCTCAAAACCCCAAAAAGGTACCGTTTCAATGAATGTTGGTTTTCTACCTTGACAAGCTCAATAGGAGCCTATACAAACTTGTTCTCGTAGTTTTCTCGTTCACGCCTCATGGCAACACCCAGAAACCCCCCAAAAAGGACCTATTTCATTGAAATAGGCTTATTTTGGTGGTGTTCCTCCCTGGCCCTAAACCCTAAAACCTTAAAACTTGTTCTCGTTCCACGCCTCATGGCAACAACCAAAAACCCCCAAA